ATTAGTTGATGCAGTGTCTTCACTTCATAGTGTCATTGTCTTTATATTTCTGTTTGTTTTTCAGTGGCTGGTACTGGTTTTTCCTTTTCATATTTAGTGCTTCCTTCAGGAGCTCTTATGAGAGGCGAGCCTGACGGTGACAAACTCCTCAGCATTGCTGTCCTGGAAAGGATTTTGTTTCTCCTTCCCATATGAAAGCTTAGCTTTGCTGGGTATGAAATTCCAGGTTGAAAATTCTTTTCTTATGAATGTTTGAATATCGGCCCCCACTCTCTTCTGGCTTGTAGGGTTTCTGTAGAGAGATCCGCTGTTATTAGTCTGATAGGCTCTCCTTCGTAGGTAACCTGACCTTTCTCTGTGGCTGCCCGCTAACATTTTTTTCCTTTTGTTTTTCAGCAGCAGAAGAATGTTGATTGTTGTCTTCAGGTTGCTCTTCCGAGAATAACAGGTAGTGTTCTCTGTATTTCGTGAATTTGAATGTTGTCCCTGTCTTGCTAGATTGGGGAAGTTCTCCTGGATAATATCCCAGGTCTCTGGGAAATCAGCACACTGTTTCCCACGATGGTTGAACTTAATTTTACTTCCACCAACAGTGAATAAGTGTTTCTTTTTCTCTACAATGTCAGCAGCATCTGTTATTTCACCTGGTGTGAGATGATATCTTATTGTGGTTTGAATTGTATTTCTCCAATGGTCAGTGACTTTGAGCTTTATTTCATATCTGCTGCTTGTCCTCATGCATGTCTTACTTTGAATGTGTCTGTTCATGTCCTTGTCCCACTTTTTACTGGTATGGATTGTTTTGTTTGTTTATTGAGGCGCAGTCTCGGTCTGTGCCCAGGCTGGAGAGCAGTGGCACGATCTCCTTTCACTTGCAACCTCCTTCCTGGGTTTCAAGCTATTCTGCTGCCTCTGCCACGCTATTATCTGGGATTACAACGTGCACCACCTCTCTCCAGCTAATGTTTGTATTTTATGGTGAGCCAGGGATTTTCATGTTTGCCAGGCTGGTCTCGAAATCCTGGCCTCCAGTGATCTACCCATCTTGGCCTTTCAAAGTGCTGGGATTACAGGTGTGAGGCACCGCACATGGCGTGTCTTTTTATTTTTTTTGTTTTTGTTTTTTTAAATTTCTCTAAGTTTTATAGATTATTGCATATGAGACCTTGGAAAGATGCATAGTTTCAAACATTTTCTCCCATTCTCTGTGTTGTGTGTTGTCTCTGTGGATAGTTATTGTTTTTATTCTGTTTTTTTTTTTTTTTTTTTTTTTTTTTTGCTGTACAGGGAGCTCTTAGTTTCATTAGATTCCATTTGTCAATGTTTGCTGCTGTTGCAATTGCTTTTGGCATCTTCATTATGAAATCTTTGCTCCTTCCTACGTCCAGGATGAGAATGCCTGGGTCTTTCAGGATTTTTATGGATTTGGGTTTTACATTTAGTTTCTGAATCCACCTTTAGTTAATTTTTCTTAATAAGAGGTGATCCTGTTTCAGTCTTCTACATACAGCACCATTTATTGAATACAAGTCCTATCTGTTTACTTGTTTTTGTCAACTTTGTTGAAAATCAGATGGTAATAGGCGTGAGGTGTGCAGCATTATTTCTGTGTATTCTATTTCATTGGTCTTTGTGACTGTTTGGTATTGGTATCATGCTATTTCATTTACTGTGCATGTGTTATAATTCTGAAGTCCGGTAATATGATGCTTTGGCCAATTCTTTTTGTTTAGGATTGCCTTGGCTGTTTGGCTCTTTTGTCCATATGAATTTTAAAGTAGTTTTTTTTTTTTTTTTTCTAATTCCGTGAGGAATGTCATTGGTAGTTTAACAGGAATATCACTGAATGTATGAATTGCATTGGTCAGATTGGCCATTTTGACAATATTTTCTATTCACGAGCATGTGGAATGTTTTCCATTTGTGTCATCTCTGATTTCTTTGAGCAGTGTTTTCTAGTTCTCATAGTAGAGACGGTTCTCCTTCCTGGTTAGCTGTATTCCTAGGTATTTTATTCTTTTTGTGGCAGTTGTGAATGGGATTGTGTTTCTGATTTGGCTCCTGACTTCAAGGTATTGGTGTGCAAGCGTCCTGTTTTGGACGTTAATTTTTGTATCTTGAAGCTTTCCTGAAGTTGTTTATAAGATCAAGCAGATTTTGGGCAGAGAGTCTGGGATTTTCTAGGTATGGAATCATATTGTTTGCAAACAGAGATTGTTTGACTTGTGTAGAAGAAACACAGTGGAGTAAAAACAAAACACGTGTCAGCAATGGAATGGAAAAATACAAATGCCCATGAATAAATTTAATTTGAATGTGAAGAAGTAATATGAAGCAAATAACACAGTCATTGTGTGGGATGTGTTAAAAGACTTGAAAGGGGTGAGGAGTGGCTTTTTTTTTTTTTTTTTTTGATTGAGATTCTAAAATAGAAAGATGGCTATTGTCGCGAAGTTAACATGTGATATAAAAATGGCTTAACTAATCCCAGCACTTTGGGAGGCCGAGACGGCGGATCACGAGTTCAGGAGATCAAGACCATCCTGTAGCTAACCCGGTGAAACCCGTCTCTACTAAAAATACAAAAATCTAGCCGGAAGGCGAGGTGGCGGGCGCCTGTAGTCCCAGCTACTCGGGAGTCTTGAGGCAGGAGAATGGCGTGAACCCGGGAGGCGGAGCTTGCAGTGAGCTGAGATCCGGCCACTGCACTCCCAGCCTGGGGCGACGGGCGAGACTCCGCCTCAAGAAAAAAATGGTAACTAAATATCTCTCAACAGGAATATTTTAGTACTGATCAAATGATTCTGCAGTTCATCTGAGAAAGACCAATGTGTCAGAATTGATAGAAAGGAGAAATCAGTGAGGAGGGCAAGCATTACTTCACATTTCAAATATCATTAAGCTACAGCAATTAAAATAGTGCAGTAGTGGTACAGGTATAAACAACTCAGTGGAAGAAAATTAAGAGAGTTATATACAAAATTGAGTGGGGATGTAGGTGATGATAAAGAGCCATTTCAGAAACAGTGGGTGAAACCGGGATTCAACAACTAAGGTTGAGTTCCTACCACTTTAATGTTGTCCAGCTAGATCCAATGATTTTGAGCATTACAGTAATGCAACCAAGAACTATGAATGTCTTATCGTGACGGAGTGGGTAACCACCACTGCAAGCATGACAACAAACTAAACAGAGGAGGCAAGAAAATGATATCTGGAAGCGTATATAAAACAGGTATTAAAATATTTAAGATTTATTTCTGTGATGGTGAATTTTTCTGAAACACATTATTAGAGTAAGCTGGGACTCATCTTCTCCAAAGCCACTGGAAGGGAAAGAAAGGTTGGGCGGAGAAAGGAAAGTGCTTTGCAGAGTTCATTTTTTCGATGTCACGCGGGAGCGCTGGTGGTTTAGGTTCTCCACAGAGGCAGGAAAGCTTCAGTCACACAAATGAATGCCCCCTCAGTCTTATGCTGCACAGACCTGTTGCTACGCATGTCTGTTGGTAGGCGTGTCTGTTGTTCTTTGCGCCTTGCTGCCCACCTTCTGTCCACGCCCAGAGCTCTGCAAGGAGAGGTCGTGTCTTCATTCTTTCCGCCATCTTGATTCTTTCTCACTGATTGAGGCGCGCAGCGGTAGGTCCACAGAGAAGGCGGTCTTCCTGGGAATTTAGTTGTGAGCTGAGTGTGTGGAGAAGACCAGCTAGCTTTGGACAGGTCCTGCAGCACAGTCCGGCTACGAGGGAAAAGGGCCTCAATCCGGCTCCACCCAGGTGAGATGCCACCATGGGACTCTCATTGTGGCTGGGCTGGGAACGAGGGAGGAAGGTGGGCAGCGCAGAGGAGGGATCTCGTGAAGATGGGGCGAGTGCTGCGCGGGTGCTGTTAGAGGTGTCTGGTCCCGGAAACTCAGCCACTCTGAGACAGGACAGTTCCTAGACTCCTAGGTAGGGGCGCGGAAAGGGACAGCGTGTTTGGTAAGGAAGGGGCCTGGGAACTGGGAACGCTGTGGGCTGGTGACTGCGGCCCTGAGGTCTGTAGAGTGCCTGGCAGGGTGTCCGTGGGGAGCACTTAACGTTCACTCTGTTTCGCAGTTTCTCACCTCCGCCGTGAGCGTCATGGGAAAAAGGAATGGGTGAGAGGCGGTGCTTTCAGCAAGACTCGATTTTGGGAAGGGTGTGTGGGGGTGAAATGGGCCTAGCAAATCCAGAATAGGACAGTAGTCATTTCCGTTTCAATTCTCTGCCCGTGTTTTCCTAAATGTCTTCATGATGGAGAGTCTGATTGTGAGCAAAACTCAGGAAATGTCTTCTGTCTTTTGCTATGGCGTTAAGGTGATTTCTGTGCCTCTTCAACTGTATTTACAAACAAATCTGTATAGTTTGATTAAGGAAAGCTGCAAAGAGTACTTATCATTGCTCTGTGAATTATTTTGAAAATATTTTCAAAAAAATTCCAAGATAAATTCAAAATTTTAAAAGTACAAATCACATTTTGCATGGAATGTTCCTATATAGCTAAGTTCTTACACACTTTTTCCAACTAACAATATTCTGTTTTCCAGTGGGAATATGAGTGGCGTGTAGGAACAAGATCCCAATCCTCAAGAAGAGGAAATGAACAAAGTCTTTAGCAGTTGAATCATCTGTGATTGTGAGTCCTTTAACATTTGATGTTTTCTATTAACACAATTTATTTTACAAAATATATTTGAGCTAGTGTGCATGCACTGGTCAGGGTTCCATGCTGATAAAAAAATGATGGTGCATCTCATGAGGAAACTTTGGGTTCAGGAATATTATATTCTGGTGTTACCTGTATGGATATGGATATTTCTCTCTCTCTCTCTCTCTCTCTCTCTCTGCTTTTCTCTGTGTGTGTGTGTGTATATATATATCTGTCTGTTGGAAGAATATCTTTAGATTTATGATTCGATGCACATATACATTTGTGTATTTATATTATTGAGTTTTTATTCGCACACACACTTACACCCTTAGGTCCAGCAGCCCACTGAGGAAAAACGTCAAGAAGAGGAAGCACCAACTGAAAATCAGGGTATTGCACCTAGTGGGGAGATCGAAAATGAAGGAGCACCTGCTGTTTCGAGGTGAAGGGAGAGTGGAGAATAATGCTTATTGGGTGGTGGAGGTATATTTATGCATTATATTTATGACATATCATTAACAGGGAGGCAAGAAAACATTAGGAAGGAATCTTTCCTGCTGCTGCTGTGGGGAGGGTGGGAAGAAGGACACCTAAAAAAGCACAAAACTTTCCTACCATTTTGACAGAGGCTTTAGTGATTAGGTACTTGCATGGTTGTCTTAAGCCTGTGAGTGTTTCCAGAGCTCCTGTATGGTTTGTTCAGTCAGTTTCTGTTTTTCGGTTTGTTTTGTATTTTATGTTTCTGTGGAAGAATGGCTCCTTGGCTTCCTAATGTCTGCCATCTCTGGACATCTCATATATTTTTAAGAAACTTTTTAATACACATTTATTAATACTTCCTCATGCCATGTGATTTTTACTAGAATGCTGAAACGTCAGTGCAAACTGCCAGCCTAAAGCTCATAGTCTGATCAGACTGACTCAAACAAATCACTGATTTAATGTGATAAGAATAAGAACAAGCAGTACAAAGGGACAAGTAAGTTGTCCAGTGTCAGCAGGAAGAGAAGGGTGATGTTTGAACATCTCTCTGCTTTCCTGTTTTCCCACATAACTGCTGAACTCTGAAATAATTAGCCTACATGTTTTTATTTCATAATGGTGAGGGAATACACATTATCATTTCCTCGTTCATAGTTCACGTTTTAATTTGTAAACTGATGACCTTTTATGTTTTAAAAAGGAGCCCTGGCGTTTGGAAGCTTTTCAACAGGAACTGGCTCTACTTAAGATAGAGGATGAGCCTGGAGATGGTCCTGGAGAAAATGTCAGGGAGGACTCTGCCCACTTCTGATCCCACTAAGTGCTGGAAGCAGGTGTATGTTGTTCAATTAAGATGCAAACTAGAGGTGTCTGTTTTCACAATATTATATTTTTGTGACACAGAGGTAAAATTGCTGCTACTTTAATATCTTACTTCACGTCTAAACATTGTTTGAAGGTAGTTCACACCCCAAATGGCTGCCTTACACACTATTAGAGATAGAGGGCCAGGTGTGCTGGCTCATGGTTTTAATTCCAGCACTTTGGGAGGCCGAGGCAGAAGGATCACTTGAGGCCAGGACTTCAAGAGATGGAGAAAAAATTGAGTCAGGTCATTGGATTATGATATGAAAGATATGAAACATGCTAAGAGAGTAGATACCGAGTGTCTTCACAGGTATTTCAAGTAATGCAGATATTAATTAGCTTGATGTAGCCATTTCACAATGTGTATATATATTTTAAAGCTTCATGTTATACGTGATAAATATGTCACGATTTTATGTCATTTTTAAAAAAAAGATTTGAAAACATGTTCTGACTTTTTATATGTAAGTGATTTAACCAACAGCCAGTAATTTTCAGATATTTTTACTTAGAGGTCTATTTTTAACAAATATATAGCGATGTTTATAATAGCATCAGTTTATTTTGTGATGTTAACTGTGATGGTAATGTTTTACAGCTAGCATGGGTATTCACTTTACTGTATAAAGTGAACTGCCTTTAGGCATATGAGGCAGGAGGACCGGTGAATATAGGGACAAATGGCCCTATGAAAACAACTGCATAGTAAGCAGCTTCCAAGTCCAAAGTAACGTTTATACACTTTTTCACAAGAGACACAAAACAAATGTAATGCTGACTTTTCTATTTCCTTCACATAGGCAGTTCTAAACATATTCTGTATTCAGAGTGTTATTTCATATCAAAATGTTTAAATGATACTTTAAAAATATCTTTTTCCCTTAGGATTTGTTTTCGTTGAATTTTAAGTGAAAGTGTATGCTTTTTTTTTTTTTTTTTTTTTCTGCTTTCCACTTATACATACAAATAGATTCACGTGATTGAATTCATTCTGACGTTGAACAGTCTCTTTGTGTCCTTGATACTAGAAAAGTGGCATGAATTAAAAATATTGTTAATAGGCCTGGAAGTCTACCTTCAGAGTTTATTCAGAGGCTAACTGGATGTAGGCTAAAGGGTCACCCTCAGGGTTCTGATATTAGTTCATCAACATGGTAGTTGTATACCTCTAGTGTCATATGAATAAAAATCTTAGTTGAGTAACGGGTCCTAATTGTATATTTATGTTTTAGGTGATGCGCAACCATAGGTTTACACCAAGAGAAATGAAGACTGAAACCAAGAATATTATTGTTTTATATTTATGTTATAGGTGATGCGCAACCATAGGTTTACACCAAGACAAATGAAGACTGAAACCAAGAATGTTATTCTTAATCTGGAAATTTGGCTGATAACATTCTCTTAATAAAGTTTTACAGTTTTCTGCAAAGAATCCTTGCACGTTTTTGTTAAATTTATTTCTGGATCTTTAATACTCTTGAGAATTTTATCTTTTTTGAAACTTTAAATCCTGTGTTTGAGATGGTACATGGAGATAAAATGTTGGTACATTGATTTTCTATCATAGATAGATAGGAAGCTGGAAGCTTTCATAGGGGGATGCCAACAGCTGTGCAGATAGAAAAGGCCACGTGGGGCCAGGCATGTCCACCATGGGCTTTCCACCTCCCCTTTTTTAGCACATGCACAGTGAGAACGAAATGAGCAGTGTGGAGTAGCTCAAGCTGAGGACTTGCCTGCATAATAAAAGATTAGGGTGGGGCCTGGGAGAGATTCACGCCCTATGTAGATGGTACACTTGGTCCTAACCGGTTGTTTGTACCCTATGTAGATGATCAGATACTGCTTCCCCACTAGTTCATCCATAAAACTCCCTGCATTTCACTGCAGGATGGCAAACGTTTTTTCTGGGACCCCTGTCTGTAGTAGAAAGCTGTTCTCTTTGTTTCTTCTATTAACTTTCTGCTCTAAACCTCACTTTTGTTGTGCCCATGTCCTTGATTTCCTTGTCTGTGAGACCAAGAACTCCAGGTGTTACCCCAGACAACGAGGCCACTTCAATACTAGCTGTGGGTCTATGGTATATGGCTTTTATTACATTGAAATATGTTCCTTCTTTCCCCGGTGTTTTGAGGGTTTGTATCATGATGACATACTGAGTTTTATTAAATGCTTTTCAGCATCAATTGAAATGATTATATGGTTTGTAACCTTCTTTCCGTTGATATGATTTATCACATCAGTTGATTTGCATATGTTGAACCATCCTTCCATCCCAGAGATAAATCTCACTTGGTCATGATGATGATTCTAATGTATTGTTGAATTTGATTGCTACTAGTCTGTTGAGAATTTCTGCATCAATATTCATCAGCGGTTTTGCCCTGTAGTTTTCTTTTTTTGATGTGTCTTTGTCTGATTTTGGTATCAGGGTAACACTGGCCTCATAGAATGAGTTTGAAACTATTCCCTCCTCCTCTATTTTTCAAAATAGTTTGAGTAGGATTGGTATTAGTCCTTTTTTAAATGTTGGGTAGAATTCAATAGTGAAGCCATCAGTTCTGGGTGTTCTTTACTGTAAGACTTTTAATATGGCTTTGATCTCGTTGCTTATTATTGGTCTGTTCGGGTTATGGATTTCTTCATGATTCAATTTTGGGAGGTTGTATGTGTCTAGGAATTAGTCCATTTTTTTCTAGCTTTTCCAATTTATAGGCATAGAGTTTCTTATAGGAGCCAGTTATGATCCTTTGAATTTTTGCAGCATCAGTTTTGTAATGTCTCCTTTTTCATTTCTTTCTTTTTTTTTCTCTTCTTTTCCTTTTTTTTTTTTTTTTTCGAGACAGAGTCTCCTTTTGTTGCCAGGCTGGAGTGCAGTGGCACAGTTTCAACTCACTAGAACCTCCAACTCCAGGGTTCAAGCAATTCTCTTGCCTCAGCCACCCTAGTAGATGGGATTACAGGTGCCTACCACCACGCCTGGTTAATTTTTGTATTTTTAGTAGAGATGGAGTTTTGCCATGTTGGCCAGGTTGGTCTTGAGGTCCTGGCCTCAGGTGGTCCACCTGCCTCAGCCTCCCAAATCATTTTTCATTTCTGATTTATTTATTTGGGTTTCTCTCTTTTTTTCTTAGTTTGGCTAATGGTTTCTCAATTTTGGTTAACTTATTAAAAAAAGAAACTTTTGTATTATTGCTCTTTTGTAGGATTTTTTCTTTTTTTTTTTTTCATAATTGAGATTTTATTGGTTGAGGATCAGTACAGACATTTCAATCTGTACGCAATTCTTAACATATGTAATGAAATTCTAAAAAGCCACGTGTTGTAATTCCTTTTTAAAGTTATTATATTTAGAAAATCCCATTGTCTCAGCCCAAAATCTCCTTAAGCTGATAAGCAACTTCAGCAAAGTCTCAGGATAAAAAATTAATGTGCAAAAATCACAAGCATTCGTATACACCAGTAACAGACAAACAGAGAGCCAAATCATGAATGAACTCGTAAGGTGATCTGTTCAGTCTTTTACATACAGCACCATTTATTGGATACAGAGTCTGTCTACATTTGCTTGTTTTATTAACTTTTGTTGAAGATCAGATAGTAATGGGCGTGAGGTGTGCAGCATTATTTCTGGGCTGTGTATTCTATTTCATTGGTCTTTGTGACTGTTTTAGTATTGAGTATGTGTATTTCATTACTGTGTATGTATTATATTCTGAAGTCCGGGAATATGATGCTTTGGCTTCATTCTTTTTTAATATTGCCTTGGCTGTTTGGCTCTTTTTGGCTCCATATGAATTTTAAAGTAGTTTTTTTTTTTTTTCTAATTCCGTGAGGAATCATTGTAGTAGTTCTAACAGGAATATCACTGAATGTATAAATTGCATTGGTCAGATTGGCCATTTGACAATGTTTTCCTGTTCACGAGCATGGAATGTTTTCCATTTGTGTCATCTCTGGTTTTCTTTGAGCAGTGTTTTCTAGTTCTCATAGTAGAACGGTTCTCTCCTTCCTGGTTAGCTGTATTCCTATGAGTATTTTATTCTTTTTGTAGCAGTTGTAGATAGGATTGTGT